ATTTGTGTGAGACAGGGTCTCACCAGTCTGTCTTAGGACTTAACCATTCATGTGTCTCAGTCTCCGGAGTGCTGGGCATGCACCACTACACCTAGATGTTCCTCTATTATTGTCACTGTTTAAGAGTGCTTTTCCTATCAAGGGCCCACTGATTTCTCAAAGACACAGAGGGCAGAGTCTCCTGGTTATTCATTTGTTGCTCCTTCTTTCTTCCTTTGTTCTTTTTTGTTTTTCCCCTGAGAATGGTTTTCTCTGTATAGCCCTGGCTATCCTGGAACTTGCTATGTAGACCAGGCTGGCCTTGAACTCACAGAGATCCACCTGCCACTGCCTCTTGAGTGCTGGGATTAAAGGTGTGAGCTACCACTATCCAGTTAGTTTCTTAGGAAAAAAAAGTCTCAATCCCAGAAACTATAATGCAAACTCACTTTCTCATAATCTTGCATTCCTAACTTTCAAACCAAATGAATTCACAAAAAAGAATCACACACTTCAATGGTCTAGTCTTTTGGGGACAGATATCAAGTGGACAAACCTTAAAGGTGTTTTGTGTTCCCATCTGTCCCAGTCAACAGCACCATGCTGGGCATTCAGAACCCCAGGTAACACCTCATCTGAAAGTTATTTCCCCAGTTAGCGTTCACTTTCAAGGTAGATCTCAACTTCTCCAAGATGAGAAATGATATGGGGCAAGAAAGAAAAATCCCAATCAAGCAAGCAGTTGAAGAAGCAGACATAGGGGGCTGAGGGTTAACTAAGGCAACATAAAATAAGCCAGTGGCAGAGGGTCCCCCAAAGCATGGAAGCCTCTGGGACATGCATGGCTGGGACAGCAAGCCAGGGGGAGTCTCGACACTGCCTCACCTTCCTCTTGTCTAATGAAGGGAGTGAGACCCCATTGGAACGGTTAAGGTCGGACACCAACACCTTCAGAATGTCCTGAATCTATAGCAGGCGAGAAGGAAAAACAAGGGCAGGGGAGAGAGGCAAGAAAGTCAGGCCAAGACGAAGAGAAACGGTCAGGGAAATGGAATACTCAAAGCACCCGCGTCTGCACATCCTTCCAAACAGCCACCTGCTGCCTTGTCAGAGGCAGCTCTCAAAGTGCAAAAGAGTCCCCAAGGGATGTAGTCCGTTCTCTTGACCAATGCCGCAACTCGACACAGAGGCCCTTTCCACAGACCCAAAACTGCAAGAAGCAATCCAAAAGGCACCAGAACAATGTGCACCTTCAAGACCAGACTCTCAAGTAAGACTTCACTCTCATACTGCTACAGTCCAGCTAAAAAATAAGTCTGTAAGACACTAAGCCAGTCCACCATCATCAGTCAAATAAACTGTGTGTGTCAAAAAGAGACTTTCCCAAGGTAAGCCAGCAAGCTCATGACAAACATGGACTTAAAACTTAGATCTTTTCTTACTGTTGTTTCCATTTAGGAAAGCCTGAGAACAAATGATGTTCCCTCTGGCCTGGTCTCTACCCACAAACCAAGAAAATCAAGCAGTACTACTGTTAAATCACTGTTAACTCTACAGCAGGCCTTCTATTAGGGAAATTAACATAAAAACTATAATAAACTTCATTAAACTTTATAAATATACATTAAACAATATTACCATTATTTTATAGATATGTAAAAAGAGGCTCAAAAAGTTTAAACAACCTGCCCTAAATCTTATCATATTTCTAGCAGATGGAGAGATAAGATTCAGACCCAGATTTTATTTTATTTTTCTGAGCTAAAATCCAGGGTCTCTTGCCAGGTGAAACCTAACTTATTACCACTGTGCTAGACTCCCAGCTCTCAAAGCCAGATTTTTTTAACCAGCACTGGCGCTTCCGTCTGAACCACAGCCCTCTCTATCCCATCCCCAGGAATCTGCCAGCCAGACTCACATCCTCTGGTGACTGACAATCATTGGCGGTGGTTTTCTCAGGGCTACTGCCATTTTTAATCTTTTTCTTCTTCTTTGCTCCTGCAGGAACACCAGGGCTGTTCTTTTGCTGATACTCTCTCAACTGTGGAAAGAACAAGGACACTCATGAAAACCATCGGCCCCATACTCACAGCCTCCACTCAAGCTTTCCAATTTACTGAGGGCTTTTTGCTAGTGTTTCTGTATGCATTATTTGTTTGAGACAGGGTCCACATATCCCAGGCTAAGCTCCAACTCACTATGTAGATATGGATGACTCTGACCTGCTCTTCCTGCCTGAACCCCTAAAAGCTCTAAGATTATAGGTAAGTGTCACCATACCTTGTTTATACATACAGTGCTGGAGACCAAACCTAGGGCTTTGTGCAAGTGAGGCAAGTATTCTACAAACTGAGTTTCATGCCCAGTTCCCTCCCATGCAGTTTTTTTTTTTTTTTTATAAAAATACTCTTAAATACATAAGTCTCATGTAATGGTACCACAATTCTAAAAGATAACACAATGACTTTTTTTGGTGGTGGTGGTGGGTGTTGAGACAGGGTTTGTAGCTTTGGAACCTGTCCTGGAACTCTCTCTGTAGACCACGTTGACCTTGAACTCACAGAGATCCGCCTGCCTCTGAAGTGCTGGGATCAAAGTCATGCGCCTCCACTGCCTGCCATAATGACCTTTTAATGGCCGAAAAAATGACACGGCCAAAAAGGCAGTAATTGGGTTGGGAATGTAGCTCAGTGGAAAATACTTGCCAAGCATTCAAGAGGCCCTGAGTACCATCCCCAGCAACACATACACATGGGCATACACACAGAGGCAAACACAGAATTTAAACTCAATCTTTTGATTCCCAGCACTGGGGTTTGCACCTCCCAAGGGAAAAAAAATCTAGAGGTAGAGATCAGAAAGTAAACATTTAGTAGGCAGGAACTAGTTGGGTGTGCTGTCACCTATCTGTAATCCCAGCTCTTGGAAGGGAACAGCAAGAGGAATGACAGTTTGAAACTAACCTCGGCTATACAGCAAAACCCAGTTTCAGAATAAGAAAATAAACAAACAAATGAACCGCCCGCCCCCTCTTTGCAAAAAATTTGAACTTGCTGGGCGTGGTAGTACACACCCTTAATCCTAGCACTCAAAGCAGAGGCAGATGGCTCTCTGTGATGAGTCGAGCTAGCTTGGTCTACTTGGCAAGTTCTATGCCAGCCAGGGATACAAAGCAGGACCATCTTTATTCCTATTTATTTTATGTGCATTAATGTTTTTCTCATATGTATATATGTGCACTGCATATGTACCTGGTGCACATAGAGGCCAGAAGAGGATGTCAGAACCCCTGGAACTAAAGTCACAGATGACTGTGAATCATCATGGGTGCTGGGAATAAAATCCAAAAATCCCATCTTTAAAATAAATATGCATGTACGTTGTGCCTCTCTCTCTGTGTGTGTGTGTGTGTGTGTGTGATGCACAGGTATGTCAAGAGGACAGCTTCGGTGTTGCCTCTTCTCTCCCACTTTGAGACAGGTCTCTTGTCACCACACAAGCAGACTAGATGGCCCTCAGGTTTCTAGGAATTCTGTCTCTACATTTCATCTAGGTGGAGAATACCTGGGCTTACAGATTCAAGCTACCATTTCTGGTTTTGTGTGTTTTTATTTATTTATTTTGGTAAATATGGATTATTATATATACCATGCTGGCCTCAAACTCCATAGAAAGACAAAAATAATCTTGAGGTTCCAATCCTTTTGCCTCTACACCCACAGAATTGGGAATATGAGCACGCATTGCTCAGCCCAGTTAATGGGCCCTTGTATATACTAGACAAATGCCCTAACACCTTAGCTACATGCCTAACCCCACTGGGACCCTTTACCAGCAGTATTAAAGGCACACAGCAGGACTTCCTAAACTTTTACAACATAAGGGAAGAAGTCATGGAGGCAAGCCTTAGTGAACATGAGACCAGGAGGAGCACAACTTAAACATCATTTCAGAGTGTTTACATTCTTACAAATCTATGAAAACGCCATGCCTGACTTTTATGTTCGTGTCTCAAAAGAATCATGGGAAAGAGAGACACCTCATGTTTATCCTGTGGTTCTTTCTCATCAACACACTGAGAAGATCATTTGCCTGAATTTTAAGCAGTTCAGTTTCCCAAGAAATTGATCACACTATATACGTATTTTGCTCCAGAGTTATTTCAGTTTCTCTTACAGTGGAAAACTGAAAAACCCCAACCCAACCCAAACCCGTTCTTCCAAGTCAGCAAGCGACACTGACAATGTTTTGTGCTCACATTAATGGCTAAGTTAAGGGAGTGCGGGCGCCTAAATCGTCTCCGTACTCGAGCTCCCTTCCAGGTGGAAATAGGTGTTCTATCAGAGAAACAGGAAAAGGGGTGACAACATTAGGTGAGCAGGTGGGACGATCCAAGACCGGACTCCAGATAGTAATGACAGTTTCGAGGGGGACTGTGACGTAATTACATTCCACTCCACACTACCAACGCCCGAGTCGCCGTTCCGCAGCGGGGAAAGAGAGTACAGGGCCAGGACCCAGGTCCTTGGAGACAGGAGCCCAGGGAGGTCTGGCTTGGGGCGTTCGAAGTCGAGGGCTGAGAGACCCTTAAGTCACTGACCAAAGTCACCCAGGGGCGACTGGGAGGACGGAGGGCAGGGTTGTTGAGGGGGCGGGGCTGGCTGAGAAGACTTTACTGGGGGAGCCCTGGGAGCTGAGGGGTTCTTCCCGTGTGCCTCGGGAAAGGCTCGGACTCTGGTCTTGGTCCGGCCGTCGGAGGAGCTCGGGTGGGGTCAAGGGGCCGCGACCCGGAGCGCTTTACCTTTTTCTTGGCCGCAGCCAATTTGCTCTGCCTGGTTTCTTCCGACATCCCGGGGTGGGGAGGGGGGGAACGGGGGGGCCACATCACCACAATCCCGGCAGCCACCGCGGAACTGCTTCCGGCAACTGCAGCGCCTGTGTGAGCGGCGGAGAAGGCGGTGCAAGGCGCCACCGGGCCTCTCGGAAATCTAGCGTGGCCTACCCATTGGTTGATGAGAACGATGAACGTCAGGAAGGCGTGGTCACACAGCTGCCGGGCGGGAGCTACGGGCGGAGGTAACGACGAAAGCTGCGCGCGCAACCGTGACCCCTTTCGGCCGCCTATCAGAGAGAGGGGCGGAACCTCCCTTGTTTGGTGCGCGCGCAGCTTGACCTAAGTCGGTTGGTGGTCTCCATTGCCGATTTCTGGTTATCTGAGGCATCCGTCTAACTCCAACCCTGGACCCTTCTTCGCAAAAGACGACCCCGCTCCGGGTACCTCGGACCTCAGGGTTCAGGAGGTGGGCGAGGAGCGCGTTCTTCATTTCACAGCCTTTTCCCAATTCCTCACGCCTCATCCCAGACTTCCTCCCCCCAGGCCCCTCACAACCCGTTCTCGGCGGAGTTCCCTTCCCACAGTGTGAACCCCGACCTCAAAGCCCTTGCCCCATCCCGATAGCTCAGGGTAAAGCCCTAGCAGCTGGATCGCGGTCCAGCCTCCTTCCCCACTGCGGCTCCCGCGCCCCCTCGGCCCCACCTCAACAGCCCTTTCCTCCGGTTTCTCCCCAGGGCTGACTTAGGATTCGGCCGAAGTTGCTATGGAGCCTTCCGATCACCGGTGAGTAGTCAGCCCTACCCCGCCCACTGCATCCCAACACCTGCACACCCATCCTCCCCCTTCCTGAGCATCCAGCCTCCAAGCTCTTCTGAAGCGTTAGTCCTTTCCTAACCCCACCCCTTCCCTTTCCTTACTCAGAAATGGGGTCCTGCCCTTCACTCCTACCTGTTCATGCCTATTATTTTCCCCTCAGCCAGCCCTGCCTTCAGTCCTGCATACAGTTTCTCAGTCAGGGAAACTCTCTTTATGCTGGCCACTTCCTAAACTACTATCTCCTTTCTGACCACCCCAAAAACTCAACATCCTTTATTTCCTTTATTTCTCCTCCCCAAAGATGGATTTTTCCAGCACTATTTTCAAGCCACTCCTCTTTAGTAGTTTCTTTTGTTCATTATGCCTTTTTTTTTCCTTTTTTTTTGGAGACAGTTGTTAATCCCAAAGATGGAAGGAGAAAGACCACCGACCCAAATCATCATCATGGCCAAATTAATTAAAGCAAGCTTTTCTGTTCGTGTATACGAGCTACCTCCCCCTAAGTCAGGGTTACAGAGGTCAGCCTCAGATGTGAGGAAGACAACTCGGATACCGGGTTTCCAAATGGGGGATTTGGAGGCAAAATAGCTGGGGTTACAGGAGCAGAGCATCGGCACAGCAAATTAGCCCTAACGACCTCCCGAAACAAAGACATGGTTGCAAGATGGTCTTACAGGTGGTCATAACCCTTTTGAAACAAAAGTAGGGTTGTGAGATTGTTATAAACAACTTTTTGGAACAAAGACATGATTGCCATTCTTGAGACAAGCAGTACAGAATAATTCATAATTAAGGTTTTCGGTGGGGCATAGCCCAAACCTTGAAAAACAAGTGTAGTCATAAACAGGAATGAACCTAGTTTATCTTTACTATAGATGGCTTTTAAGCCTAAGATGGAGGCAGGCTGGTTCTTCACAGTCTCATGTGTCCCAAGCAGGTCCCAAACCCTCTCAGTGTTCAAGGATGCTTTGCATGGTCTCACTGTATAGCCCAAGCTAGCTGAATACTCTTCAGCTTCCTGCCTTAGCAACTCCCAAATGCTAGGGAGTCAGGATAAAATGCCAGGAAGAATTATGGAGACATAGAGAGAGAGAAAAATCACTTTAAGCAGGATGGTGGTGAGGCAACTTTAATCCCAGCACTGGGGAAGCAGAGGCAAGTGAATTTCTGAGTTTAAGGCTAGCCTGCTCTACAGAGTGAGTTCCAGGACAGCCAGAGCTAAACAGGGAAACCCTGATTTTAAAATCAGTGATTCTAGCACAATGAACATTTGCTGTGAATGTTGCCAACATAAAGACAATATTTCCTTTTTAAACTTTTCTTTTTCAGATAGGGTCTTTATGTATCTCTGGCTACAAACCTGGCTGGGCTTGACCGCATAGATATCTACCTGCCCCAGCCTCCCAGGACTGAGATTAAAGGCCTATGCCACCCACACCAAACCTGGTTTTTTGTTTTTTTTATAATTTAAAATTATACTTTAAAATGTGTTTATTGTTTGTCGAATGTCACAGAGTACATATGGAGGTCAAAGAACAACTTTTCAGAGTTGGTTCACACTGAATTCAGGGCTCCAATTCAGGTCATCAGATTTGTCAGCAAGCACTTTTACCAGGTAAACCATTTCACTGGCCCCTAGTATTTCTTTTAGGGAGATATTTTTAAATAAGAATGTTAAAGTACTAATAAGCCAGACTTAAGGCCAGGCCTTATTTGGCTCACTCCTCACCCAGCGGTTTCTAGGAGTCTCCTAAAATGATTACTTTGTTTACAATAAAGGTGATGATAGCCTCCTTTTCTGCACCTTGTGACCTAAGGGTCTAATTATCCACTGTAAACCTGTCAGGCAGCTGTCAATAACCATGGGGCCATGTGTGATCACTTTAAAATGCCTTAGCAAACCTTTGAATAATTTCAGATGTGATTGTTGTCTAGACAATGAAATATGGCCAGGAGTGGTGGCACTTGCTTTTAATACCAGGTACTCTTGGGAGGCTGAGGCAGTTTGAAACTAGCCTGGTCTACATAGTGAGATTCAAGATAGCCAGAGCTACATAGTAAGACCCTGCCTAAAAAATAAGAAAAAACTACAAATTCAAGTCTCCTTTGGAAGCCCACACCCTCATTTGAGTTTGTCTCATTCTATCTTGGAATGCCTTTAACTTCTGTTCTTAAATCTGTTCAGAATATATTTTAATAAACCCCAACTTGCCCCTCATATGGGCTTGTCCTGATATTCTTTTCTTTGATAAAGCAGGAGTCAGCTTTACTTGAGAGTGGCAATACCTGGGGACAACTCCCCAGGTTAATATTAGAGCTGTTGGCCAAGCTAACACCCACTTACCCTTTGAAGTTCAGCTTCTTCCAACAGCTTTACTCCCTGCTTCTGGCTCTGCTAATTCTAGATGCTTCCTTAGCAGCACATTATTCTTCAAAGTTTTTATTTTTAGACCTATAATTAGTTGATTTGCTGTTGGATCTTTCCAACAACTAATGATGAGTTTTGTCTACTGTGTGCCCAACTGCTGTGTTGCCATCAGTGGACAAACACACAAAGTCCTTGTCTCCTTTAAATTTACCAATTTAAATGTTCACAACAGTGGTGTGAACATAAAAAATGAAATGTACCACCTGTCAGGTGATGAAAAATGAACTAAAACATCTATAGAGATTGGAAAGATAGCTCCGTGTGTAAAGTGCTTGCCATGAAAGGCACCACACACACTAGCACCCATGTGAAAACTGGAGGCAGACGCACAAATGTGATGTATCCCAGCATTGAGGCAGAGGCAACCACCCTAGGACTTGATGGCCAGCTGTCAAGCAGAATCAGTGAGATCAGAAAGACCCTGTCTCAGAAAATGAGGTGGATGGCAAGTGGAGAAGGAACTGAACATGGAGACATAGATAGCTCATTGGTTAAGAGTGTACACTGCTTTTACAGACGACCGAAGTTCAGTTTCCACCACCCACATCAGTGGCTCAAAATCTCCTAGGACTCCAGCTACAGGGAGATATAATCCGTCTCCACAGACACATAATTAAAAAATAAAATAGCCAAGCCACATCTTTTAATCCCAACTCTAGGGAGGCAGAGACAGGAAGATCTCTGTGAGTTCCAGGCCAGCCTGGTCTACAAAGCTACACCTACACAGAGAAACCTGTCTTGAAAAATAAAAAGGATAGCTAAACCAGGTGGTGGTGGAGCATACTTTTAATCCCAGCACTCAGTGAGTTACAGGCCAGCCTAGTCTACAAATTAATTCCAGGACAGCTAGGGCTACACAGAGAAACCCTGTGTCAAAAAAACAAATAAGTAAATAAATATTTACTAATATAAAATTTTATGTTCATGAATGTTGTGTGTGTGTGTATGTGTGTGTCTGCCATGTGCATGCCTGGTGCCCAGAGGTCTGAGGGTCTGACCCCCTATCACTGGAGTTAAAGGTAGTTGGAACCCTTTGTGGGTACTAGGAGCCAAACTCAGATCCTCTGCAAGAGCAGCAAGTGCTCTTAACCATCATTCCATTCCCAATAAAGAATTATAAAATTACATTTGTTTCTGCTAGGCATGGTGGTACATGCCCTCAATCCAAGCACTCTGCAGGCAAGAGGTAGATGTATCTTTGAATTGGAGGCCAGCCTGATCTAAGTACTGAGTTACTGACCAGCCAGAGCTACATAGTGAATGAGGCCTTGTCCCTCCCACCTTTTCGCAAAATAAAAATGTAAATAAAATTACATGTACTTCTTTTATTTGGAGCAGGAGGCACTATGACAGTGGTTTTCAACCTGTGGGTTGCAACTCCTTTGGGGTTTGAAAGACCTTTTCACAGGGTGACCTATCATCAGACAGTGCTCACTCATAATTGCAGAGTGACTGATCACAAGCCAGAGACCTAAGAACAGGAACCACAGCTTCCTCTGTTTTCTTACTAGGCAGTTCATCCAACATACACTTCCTGAAGATAGCTGAGCACTAGATGTCAGCCTTTACAGTAGTGGTTCTCAACCTTCCTATGTGTGGTGACCCCAACCAATCACATGAAATTTTTTTTGCTGCTTTATAACTAATTTTGCTACTGTTATGGATCATAATGTAATATCTGATATGCAGAATATGTGATATGTGTCCCTTGGGGTCGTGACCCACAGTTTGAGAGCTACTGCCTTACAGGCTCAGAGACAGAAAAAGATGAAGTGTATCCTTAGGGAAAGATCTTGTGCAATGAAATTATAAATCCAGTGACATTACAGACCTGGGTTCAGACTGCAGGTCAAGGTAGCCAATTACTTAGGATTGGGTTTAGTTGAGAAGAAAACTCTAAATAACCAACATCATGGACTCTATCCTCCTTCTCGCCTCAGCCTCCATGAAGCAGATGCTGCTTCATCAAGGTCTATTCCAGCATTATGTCAACATTCCAGGCAGAGAAAGGCCAGGTTTGGGCATGTTCTCTCCCTGAAAAGACATTCCTCAGACATTGCATATGTCACTTCTGATGACATTTCTACTTGTCATAACAGTCTTGGGCCACACCTAATTCCATCGAAAGCTGATAAATAAGTGGCATTTTAAGGTCAGGGTCCTATTACTAAGCAGAAATAGGAAGTGGCTATCGAGATGTATCACATAGGCTCTGATATGTGGATAACTGATCAATCCAGCCGATAATCTTTTTTTCTTTTTGGGGGGGGGGCCACTCAGTGTTCATCTCCGTGTTCATCTCCCAGTTTGGAAGAGGATGAGGAGATTAATGAGGAAACTTTGAACTCTGACATTCAGAAACTGAAGGAGAAAAAGGAGATGCTGGACAAGGAGATTTCCCAGTTAGTAAAAGAGTAAGTCTTGTCTTTGTTATTTTGTTTTCTGAGCCTTAAACTTGCTATATATCTGATAATGTAGTCCTGATTCTCCTGTCTCCTCTTAGTGTGGGCTTATAGGTGTGGGCAACAACATCTAGTTTTCTGAACAAGTCTTGTTGCCTACCCACTGTGGTTAGGATGCTTACCTCACATACATAAAGTCCTGGGTTCCATCCCTATTGCAAGAAAACAAAAGGACAAGGCATAGAGCTCTATGACAGTGTTCACCTGTTGGTCCCAAGTCACACACAGACATTCTTAACTTAATTAGTGTCTAGTAACAAACCCAGTGTACTAGCTTGCATAGAAAAGATTCTGCCATGGGACTCTTGAGTATCTTTGCAGCTGTGCTGGGAAGTCAGGTTAGGACAAGCCTAGAGCCAGGAGCTAAAGAGCTGGTGGAGCAGAAGTGGTGCTATTCTGGGCTCTCCCTGTGGGGCTATTTTCTAGGCTCTGTGACTTCTCCACAGGTCCTGGGCTTCCTCATGCTCCTTACTCCAGTCTCAGGGCAAAGACTGAGATACATTAGGATGTATATTTCACATGAGGGAATCTGCCTGGTGACCTTTTATGTGCTTATCTATGGCCAGGGTCACATAATAACCATGTGTCTGGAATCCCCTCCTTTAAAAGTGACAAGTTTGCTAGGAATGAGTAGATCCCCTGCCATTATAAGCTACAGGAAAACAGGCTCCATCCCGTCATCACTGTCCCCGAGGCCTAGCACCTAGTAGGACTATGGTGAATATTTGTTAAATAGATGCTGAACACATGCCTCACTACCACCTGATAATGGGTTTCATCAGCTTACCTAATGGTGCTCGTTCTCCATTGCTCTTCCCCAGAGGCTACCGTGTGGGTGAGCTAGAGGACCACATCTCTCTCCTCCATGAGTACAATGACATCAAGGATGTGGCACAGATGCTGCTGGGAAAGCTGGGTGAGTTGAGAGGGGTGGGAAGGCGGCCCCTCCCCTCCCTTTGGTCCCCTAACTTACCCACCACCCCACTCTTGTCAGCTACTCTGCTCCTAGAATACTACAAGCCCTCTTCTCACCAGCCACTGCTCCCTCTGGGTACCCAGCAAAGCAGATTTGCAGCTCTTGCTTTAGTCCCAGACTCTCAAGCATAGACCTACTTAGGAGCAAGTTTGAACAGTGTTACGATAAAGCTTGAGGGGGACCTTGGTGGATTCCATGGCAGGTGTGGGTGACCCAGGCGGAGGGACAAACATGCCAGGCTGACAGAGCTTAAGTGAGAAGTTTTATTAGAGAGGGAAGTGGGAGGGGAAGGAAAGAGAAAAGAGGTAAAGAGACAGAGAGGACAGAAGAGAAGAGGGAGACAGGGAAAGTCCTACTGTCTCAGGGGAACAGGGAAAGAGGAGCAGGAAAGAGAGCATAAGTAGGCAGAGGGATCCTTTGCACCTGGGCTGACCCGGGCACTGTCTGAGTGCATTCTGCCAGGTGACAAGGGCAGGCCAGCATAATGCCTGAATCCTTACAAACAGGACTTAACTACCTTTGAAACTGGACTAAGGTCCCTGATCTTCCATGGCCTGATGAAATATTGAGAAACCATGGCTACCTCTGATGACTGACTTGTTTAAGGGGAGCAAGGACCAGGACAGCTCTTTGTGATACACAGTAGGATCCATGTCCTCCTCTAACTACATCTTGTCATCCAGAATCTTGAACCAAGACAGATACCTGTGTGTTTGGGCTTATGTGCAGCCTATCATAGAAATCAGGCTGCTTTGGGATAAGATACTGTGTAAATAGACTTATTTACGCTCCTGGCCCAGAGTGAAGAGGAATCATGTACCATATAAGAATGCGTTCTCTGGAGGGAGAAGAAAATAGGGAAATAAAAGTATCCAAAAGGACAGTGATCAGAGCTTTAAAAAAAAAAAAAAAAAAGGTATGGCCAAGTGTGGTGGTGCATGTCTAAAATCTCAGTGCTCTGGAGGCTGAGGCAGGTAGTTCATAAGTTCAAGGCCAGCCTGGTCAAAACACCAACAATAAAAGTGTTCTTGCTAGAACTCAGATGGAGACCTATCACCTCTATTTCATATAACCTGGAGCCAGTGTCCTGACTTTCCTGTCTTTTCAGTGAATGTTTACTGAGTATCTACTTTGCACCAGGTACTTTTAAGATGCTGGGATGGTGGTGAAACACATGCCTTGTTTTTAGTGTTTAGAGTGTGCAGAATGGCCAGTCAGTAGATGATCAGAGATGATAGTGTATTAAAATAGTTCTACAAAGGAAACAGTGGAGATGGAATACTGAGGTCAAAAAAGGAGCAGCAAGAGGAGCAGGGTTGCACAGCTGCTACCTGAAAGGCTGGCTGCAGGCCATGCTGAAATGCTTGGTTGGTGTTGGGTGGTTAGGCCAAGGTTCTGGGGCAAGCAAGGCTTGGAAGGAGAAGCAGGGAGATTACCTGTGCCGTTTGGGTAAGGTGTGAACCTGGGCCCCAGAAGTAGTGTTCTGGACGGTTAGGACAGCGGCCTTCGTTTGGGTTTTGACCTCCACTGGATAGTAATCCTTCCTTCCTTCCTTTCAGCTCTGACCCGAGGTGTCACCATCAAGGAGTTATATCCAGATTTTGGTCTAGACCTGAGTGACTGAGCAGAGTCTTGGAGACAATGGGACAAGTGGATGGAGAACATGAAAAGCAGAGATTGCATCCCAGACAGTACTTTTGAAAGGCCCAAACTAAGTTTAGGGTGGGTCCTAGAGAGAGGGGTGTTGGGAGGGGTGATCATTGTCAGGTCTAAGGTTCCTAAATGTACTTGTGGATGGTTATGTGGGATTGTCCCTTTTGTTAATAAACATGAGCAGTCTCTGCATGGTTCTGATCCCTTTCCTCTACTAGCCCCAGTCATGTCATGCCATGGGTCACAACAGCTCACTCTTGCTGAATCTCATAGCTGTTTCCACTGCACCCATGAGTATTTTTATTGCTGTCCCATTGACCTCAAAGAGGCAAGTGACTTGCCCAGAGTCACACAATAGCAAGTGTGTCAGGGATTTGAGCTCAAGACTGTGCTTTGTGATGCTACCTTTCTTGGTTAGAGTTAGAAGTGAGAAATGACAGCATCTATTTATCCAGGTGTAGTGGCACACAACTTTAATCCCAGCACTTGGAAGGAGAGGCAGACAAAAGTTTAAGTCCAGCCTGGTCTACTGAGCAAGTTCTAGGACAACCAGAGCTACTTAGTGAGGCCATGTCTCAAAATGAACAGAGAAATTACAACATTGTTAATTTATAAATTTTGACCATCATGGGTATGTATAAAATTCATGAGGCTGGAGAGATGGTTAATGATGGGATTGTTTGAGTCTCGGAACTCTCATAAGTAGGAGGAGAAAATATTTCACAGTGGTGTTCTCTCACCTCTTGTTCACACATGCCTCCCATGTCATGCACATATCTACATTCATGCTGTCTCAATTCTTTTTTGTTTGTTTGATTTTGTCTTCTTTCTTTCTTTTTGGTGTTTCAAGATAAGGTTTCTCTATTGCTTTGGAGCCTGTCCTGGAACTAACTCTGTAGCCCAGGGTGGACTCAAACTCACAGAGATCTGCCTGCCTCTGCCTCCCCAGTGTTGGGATTAAAGGTGTGTGCCACCAATGCCCAACTGCTCCTGCTCTTTAGAGCACCTGTATTCATTCCCAGCACTCAAACGGTGGCTCACAGCCTCAGTCCTAGAGGACCCAACACCCCAATATCTCTAGAGCAGCTAGACCAGTGCTTCTGCTGTGATGGAAAACAGGACTTGCACTTCAGACTTGCCACGAGTTCTGACAGAGCCTGGGGACAGCTGAAACTGCAGGTATGGAAGTGTAATCTCTAAAACCCAGCCTTAACTGCACTTAATTCCAGCACTATGAAGGCAGAGGGCAGGCAGATGGATCCCAAGGCTACATAGAAAAACCTTAGAAGTCTTACTTAGGGTTTCTACTGCTGTGAAGAGACACCATGACCACTGCAACTCTTATAAAGGAAAACATTTAATTGGGTAACTTACAGTTTCAGAAGTTTAGTCCATTATCATCATTTTGGGACATGGCAGCTCCCAAGCGGACATAGTGCTGGAGAGGGAGCTGATCCAAAGGCAATAGGAAGTATCTGTCTCACTGGGTGTAGCTTGAGTATTGGAGAACTCAAAGCCCAACCCCATGGAGACACACTTCCTTCTGCAAGGCCACACCTAATAGTGCCACACTTTCCTGACCTTCTGAGAGCCATTTACATTTAAACAGCGGGGTAAGGGAAGAGGCTTGGGTTTCAACCCCATGGGCACCTGGTTTGACCACCTCAATGGAAAAAATATAATATCTGCACTGGGTATTGACTGCCTGCCTGAGCATAACCCACATACCACCTTAGCTAAACATGGTAAAAGTGTGATTATAGATCCAGCCGTTCATGCCTGTAATCTTGTAGAAGGATAGTACTATCCAAGCCAGCCAGGGCCACATAGGCTACAGTTTAAGACCGTCTCAAAAAGACAGTCTGAAAAACATGAGTTGAGAGTGGTAACAGGCAGTTTAATCCCACTACTTGGGAGGCTGAGGCAGGTGGGTCTCTGAGTTTGAGGCCAGCCTGGTCTACAAGTGAGTTCCAGGACAGCCAGGACTGCATAGTGAAACCCCTATCTCAAACTAGTCCCTAGCACTATCCAGCAGCTCACAACCACTCCTGCTCTAGCGCCCTTTTATGGCCTCTGCAGGCACCCCCTCCCACTCAGACATAAATTATTTATATGTTGTAAGTCCTTGTATGGGAATTCATAGGGGCTCAGAGGCTCAGAGGCTCAGAAGCTGGACTAAAAGTGAGCCTCAAGTCTCTAACATAGGTGTAGGGAACTGGATCCCTAACCCTAAACCTTCTGTCCAGCACCAAATCTTTTTTTAAATGTCTGTGGCTGGCATGGCAGTGGCATGCCTTTAATATCAGCACTTGGAAAGCAAGAACTGGCAGATCTCTGAGTTCAAGGCCTGCCTGATCCACATACTAAGTTTCAGACTATAGGGCTATATATAGTGAACCTATATCTGAAGTCACTATTCTATTGCAGTGAAGAAACACTCCAAGAGAAAGCATTTTATTGTGAGCTTGCTTGCATACAGTTTCAAAAGCTTAGTCCATTATCAAGGCGTGGAGAGGGAGAGGGGAGAGGCATGACCAGCCTGATCCACAAGAGTAATCCTATAAAACAGGTCTGCTCCCTGAAGATTATATGAGCCTATGGGGGCCATTCTTATTCAAACCACCACATCCTCGATGAAGAGTTGGTTTATGTGCTTAAGAGTGCTTGTGCAGTCATGATGACCAGAATACTTGCTTTACAATAACAAGGGTCCCAGCACCCTTGAAACAAGCCCATTGTCCCACACAAAGGTGGTGACACACACCTTTAATCACATCAGTGGGAGGCAGAGGCAGGGTGGAACTCTGAGTTCCAGGCCTGCCAGAGCTACATAGAAAGATCCGGTGTCAAAACCTGTTATCACATCAACTTGAGTGTTTCTAAAAGTTCTCTTTGGGGCTTGTGGGCAGCAGAGTCACCACAGTAAAGGAAAAGAGATGGACAAGATACAAAAGACACAAGTTTGAGTGACAGACCATTGTCAGCTGTCACATGGCCCACACTGAGCTGGGTTGGGATGAAGGCGAGCACATGGTGTTTGATTCGGATGAGCAGCTGTCTTAGCCCTGAAAACCTAACTTCTGAAGGGAGCTTGGGGGACTTGGTGGGCAGCCACACTGCTTGTGACCCAGCACTTAGAGTGCTCCTGCAATGACCCATGCTTGTGCTCTGGTCCTATTCCTAACATCAGATATACTGTGTTTTTCTACCTTTCCAGGTTCACCATAAGATCCCATGTCATTTGTCCCGGGCAACAGCCATTCTCATTTCTGGCTTTTCCTAGCCATTCTTTCAGTTCACATCATAATGGGCCAGGCAGGCAAGAATGTGGAAGGGTCCCAGGTCTGGGAACAGCATGTACAAAAGCTCAGTTTGGATATAGTGACTAGGGGATTGTGACGGGCAGTCTGGTCCACCTGATGTGGGATGAGAGGCTCACCTAAGCCTATCCTAGCCAGCTCTGCATCTGTCATGAGCACCCAAGAAAGGCCCTGAGAAAAAATCATCTCCAGGCTCAGTCCAGTGTGAAAATGGCTCTGCCATGTACTATTGGCAGGCACCAGCCTCTTGGGGGCAGTGTACACTCAGATGTGTGCTTAATAGCTAGCTGTGCAGCATGAAGACAGGGACAGAGGAGGTGAGAGGTTGTAATCACAGATCCAAATTAGTTACAAACAAAAGGGTTCATCAGACAAGAGCTGATAGGTGCAGTAACCAACCATTTGCACAACTCTGGTTTTGTGGGATCTTTGAACCTCACCTGCAACATCTACTGTCCCAGACAATGCATTTAGGTTCAGTAGAACGCCCCATTCCCAAACTGAGCCAGCTGAGGCACAAGATGCAACAGTCTAGTTGTCTGACTGCAGAGCTGGCTAAATATGAGTGCTGGCTCCCAAGGACAAACCAGCTTCTCTTGAAGAAATGATGGCTCATACCCATAATCCCAACACCCAGGAAGCCTAAAGCCTTGGTTACATAGGGAAACATGTCAGGGGAGGTTCATACCTATGCTGGCCTGAAACTCATCTTCTTGCCTTTACCTCCAAAATCCTAGAACTGTGGGTATGTGCCAACATACTTTTTAGGGAGGATCTAGAAGCTGAATCCAGAACACTCTGAACCCTTAGGTCCAATATCTTAGCCATACACTCTATTATGTTTCTCAGAAATTGCATCTGCCCTTGGCCAGGTGTGGTGGCACATGCCTTTAAATTCAGCATTCAGGAGGTAGGAGCAGGCAGCTCGTGGCCAGCCTGGTCTGGCTAGTTCCAGGCTATTCTAAGATACACAAAGTGAGATTCTCAAAGGCTAAAGTAGGGGAGGGACTAAGGATATAACAGTATTAGATCATTTGCCTGCTTGTACAAAGACTTGAGTTTTGTCTTTAACACCATAAAACAATAATATGCTGCTGACAGTGGTGGCACACACCTTTAATCCCAGCACTTGGAAGGCAGAGGCAGGCAGAGCTCTGAGTTCAAGGACAGCCTGGTCTACAGAGTGAGTTCCAGGACAGCCAGGGTTACACAGAGAAACCCTGGCTCAAAAATCAAAAGGAAAAATATTCTCTTGAAATTTGGGTGTCCACTGTTCCACTGTTTAGGAATTCTGAATTTTCAGGCCAGAGCTCTGCCTTTTTTTTTTTTTTTTTTTTTTTTTTTTGTTTGTTTGGTTTTTTTTTTGTTTTGTTTTGTTTTGTTTTGTTTTGAGGCAGGGCTTCTCTGTGTAGCTTTGGAGCCTGTCCTGGAATTTGCTTTGTAGACCAGGCTGGCCTCAAACTCACTGAGATCCACCTGCCTCTGCCTCCCCAGTTTTTAAAGATCTGTGTGTGGGGGGGTTGCTGTGTGAGTACAGTGCCCTCAGAAGACAAAGAGGACACTAGGTCCCTTGAATCTAGAGTTGTAGGCCATTGAGAGCCACCTGACCTAACATGGGTACTGGGATTGAATTCAGGGCCTTTGGAAGGACCAGTGCTCTTCACCACTGAACTGTCTCAAACCAGCCTTTTTTTGTTTGTTTGTTTTTCTTTTTGTTTTTTGTTTTAATTTGTTTTGTTTTTGTTGTTTCGAGACAGGGTTTCTCTGGATTGTTTTGGAGCCTGTCCTGGAACTCGCTCTATAGACCACGCTGGCATCGAACTCACAGAGATCCTCCTGCCTCTGCTTCCCAAGTGCTAGGGTTAAAGGTGTGCACTACCA